AAATGTATATATATATATATATATATATTACACACATATATTAGTTGCAAGTGGACCTTTATTTTATTTATATTTGATTCTGAGAATAAACCCAGTGCCTCGCACATGCTAGGAGGCAAGCGCTCTGTCACTGAGCCACATCCCCAGCCCAGAATTTTTTTTTCTTTTTAGTACCAGGGATTGAACCCAGGGGTGCTTAACAACTGAGCTACATTCCCCAGACTTTTTTCTTTCTTTTTTTTTTTTTTTTGAGATAGGATCTTGTTAAGTTGCTTAGGGCCTCACTAAGTTGCTGAGGCTAGCCTCAAACTTGCAATCCTCCTGCCTCACCTTCACAAGTCACTGGGATTACATGCATGCTCTGTCATGCCCGGATACGAAAAACATTTAATCCCCACTTATTTCCAGAGCAAAAGAAAAGACTTTACTTTCTAGATCTGTCCCTCTTAAATAAACATGAAACAGTAAATGGAACTCTGCATCTGGTACATAAATAGTAAATATTCAATAAAGATCAGTTAAATATGAATTGGATATGCTGCAAGGGGTAACCCCTACTTAGGGCAGGATTTTGGCAACATCAATACCATTACTTTGATTATGAACATGATAAGAGAAACAGCTCCTCTGGAAGGAACTACTGACAACTGAGGATTCTAGAATCTACATGACAGAAGGAGAATGACATATACTGCTTTATTGTATTCCAGTGTACATATCTGTCTTATGGTTATTTTTCCATAGCTGGGATTTAAATCTCAATAATGGGATAATATTACAGTTTTATTCCACACACTAACCTCTCTGGAATTCTGGGTGACAGGTGCTTATGTGCACACATGGTTAACTGGAGGGAATTCATTAGTGGTTTTACTCCTGCTGTTTTACCCAATATCCTTTCTGCTTAATTCAATTTAGTTATAAGGATGGTTCTGCAGATAGTGCAGAAATAAAATACTATTGCATTTGTCTCCATTTATTGAATGCATGCAAATTACTTTAAAGCCAGGAAGGATGTATTTGATACATTTTATTGGTGAAGACAATAAGGCTCACAGAGGAAAAGCAACTTGCCCAAGGCCACTCTGATAGTAAGTTGCAAAGAAATGTATGTTTGTCAGATTCAGATACCTCAAAAATGCAGTACTGCCTCCCCCAAAGCCAGTGTGTAAGGCAAAACACAACTGCCGGAATACAAAAATGATGCTTTCTTTATAGCTAAAACGGAAGGGGTGTGTGTGTGTGTGTGTGTGTGTGTGTGTGTGTGTGTGTATTATACAGACACATACACACACAGGCATACATATACACAAATATGTATATACACATACATGCACATACTTGTACACATGTACACATCTTTTTTTTTTTTTCAAAAGGACACAAAAAAAGAATTGTAGGGGAAAACAGAGAAAGAAAAAGGAAATCAAAGGCCAATGTCAGGCAGCCTTGGTCTTAAAGGAGGATGGAAAAACCTGGGTCTGAGAAAAGGGGGACAGTTTCTGAGCATGAATCTAAAACAGAGCTGAGAAGGAGAGAGTGAATGAATGCACTTGGCCACTGTACCCCGTCCAACCTGGCCTGCCCTCCTTACCTGCCATGAAACCAGTCTTGACACATGTCACACTCAATCATAAAGCGGGTCACATCATAAGGTAGCCGACAGAGGCAATACACAGGCACCGAGGCCATCTTCGTGGGGCCTTGGAGCGATCTGCGGCGGGCCAGGTTCCTGGTGTCAAGGAGGGGCTGGAGGCAACAGGACGCGTCCTCTCTGGACGATAGCTGGGCACAAACAACACTTTTTACAGAGTGAATCAGGTCCCCCCACGCCCACCTCCTCCCACTCGCCTTGGGGCACCAACCCTCAGCTATGAAATAGGGAGTTACCTCCGCCAGCCGGGATGCAACACAGCTGGTGTGGCTGTAGGGGGCAACCAGAGAAAGTCCACCCGGCCTTTAGAATTTCTTTCACTCAGAAAGAACGTTCCGTGCTCCACCTTTGAGTCTCCCCCCATCCCCTGTCTCCCATCCCCTACCTTCTAAGCCCTGGAGTGAGTGATAACTTCTTTCCGGGTTTCATGGAAATATCTGAGGCTTTTCAGGAAGCTCTCCTAATCCCTCACTGAACCCTGTCCTTGCTAGCCTCTCGTTTCCCAGGGCTCCCGGCTCCCTTTATTATGACGCAAACCACAGCATAAAGAATGGGGCTGGGGGTTCCTCAGGAAACAACCCAAAGACCCTCCTCTCACTCCCCTAATATGATCAACCAGAGAAATGAGGGACCCTTGAAAGTCTGTTCAGGTTACTCAAAAATCACCCCAAAGCCTTAGGGAACAAGGCAGACAAGACTAGGCGCCCAAACTCAAATCACAGTTCTGGGGTCGCGTTCTCGGAGTTTAAATGATCTTCCCGTCACTCAATATCATCCCTTCCTGGACTCGTCAGGAGTCTAATCACCCCCAACAGAAACAAACCTCTTTAAAAACTCATCAGCTCATCCCCTACTTCAAAGATGACAGGGTTCTCATCGCACCTTTGAAACTAAAAAGGATCGGTTCAAAACCCCCCGACTGACTAGAATTTCCTCACACTGCTGAAAACTAAGCAACGATTTTCTTTCTCCTCCGCTTGGAAACTGGCATGTATTCCTTGCAGCCCCCTCAAAATGACGAAGGTTTCCCTGCACCCCCAAATTGCCAGGGCTCTCATCCGAGATCCTGAGACTGACAGGAATATCCTCCTCGCAGCCCCCGAAACTTACGAGAATCTCTTTACGCCTCCCTAACAGGAACGTCTTCACGCCTCAAACCTGACAAGAATGTCCTCGGTCCCGAATCCTACGTGGACCGCCTCATGGCCAAAGCTGTAGGGCAGTCCTCACGCCGGCGGAGCTCAGTCCCGGCGACACGCCGGCGGCCGGGTTAGCTCCAAGGCGGCGCGGAGCTTCGCTCAGCGGAGGTTCGCCCGGCAGTTCCGGCCCCAGTAGCGGCGCGCGTCGAATTCTGGGATAGTCACCATAAAGCTGCGAACCTTGCTCGCCTTCCCTTCGAACCACCCGCTGGGTCGTGCGGCGCCAGCTGCCCAGCAGTGCTTCAGGGCAGCCTTCTCCACAGCACTCCCCACGGCCCCGCCGTTCGGGCCTACTAGAGACCTCAGCTCGGGCCTAGTCTGGTGGCTGCCCTGCGAACGGGCAAGTGGCGTCGTCGCTGGGCCGGCAGAAGCCGCGAGCAAACCAAGGAGTAACGAAATGAACCGGCCGCCTGGTCCAAGAAAGACGGACCGAAAAGTCGCCAGGAGAAGCCCGGCAGCAGTGCTAGGCAATTCGTAGTAGTCAATAAAGTTTATTCAAAACAACGAGGAAGTTGAGGCGGAGTGGGGAGGAGAAATATGGGGTAAACAGCTACCATATTGAGAGTGGCGGCGCTACCGTGGGGAGACAAACCAACCGCCATCTTATGAGGGATGGGCTCGCGAGGTGACCGCGTAGGAGGCGGGGAATAGCAAGCCGCAGGCTCCCGCGTGATGTCATCAGGGGCGGGGTGCCACCCTGAGACAGGGGGGCGGTGCCCAGCTACCTTTGGACCCGCTCCTCTGTTAGAGATGCCCAATCGCCGCTGGAGACCTTGAGCCGAGAGGCGGGGAAGCCGCCATCTTAGGCGAGGCAGGGGCTTGGCTCCATTTTGAGTGGGGCCCAAAATTTCCTAGCCTTTCCCCTGTTCTGGGCAAACAGGGAGTTAAGCAACACCCCCACACACACATACACACTCCTCCCCATCCTTCTCCTCCTATGAGAAGAGATGAACTCTGTGACTCCAAACTGCAAAAGTAATAGGTGGCGGCGGGGGCGGGCTTCAACTGGGATGGAGGCGGAGTACTCACAGCAGCTGCAGTTCATTGAGCACCTTCAACAGGCTAGGCTTTCCCACGGTCTTCGTGTCATTTATTCTTCACCCTGTGAAGAAAGCTCTGTGATTATTTTCAAGAAGCCAAGTAACTTGAGTTTCAGAACTGGGAAGTTGACCCTCTTCCACCTCCATATTCCTTCCTCAGCCTGATCCTCGCTCCTCAATGAAGTTCCTCCATAAGGTTTCTACCAATTTCCCACCTCCCTCTGAACTCTCTCTTCGCCGACCCTATCAGTTCAGTTCATTTCAGTGCGGATATGGGTCAGTGATTTCCACCCACCTGTTCCAAAATTTGCAAACTACAGTCTCAATGTGTGGTGAGAAGAACCGTTGAGTGGGAGCTTGACACATGTGCTTCAAAATGGCGCTGTTTTCCTCAAACATTCTAGAAAATTCTCTAGCTCTCTCACCATATCACTTTCTTAAAGGGTGCCATCACTTTAAAAAAAGAAAATGTGCACTCACCAAACCAGTGAGGGTGGGTTAGGCCCCAGTGACACAATAATGAAAATGGCCTCTGTAGTGAGAAATCACCAGCCAGTGCAGGAGAGAAGTTTGCAAGTAAACAATTGGAGTAGAAAGCCCAGTACACACATTAATTCCTCATACAAAATGTAAAACAAGTCAGATGAAATGGCCAGTAACAGTGCTTTGCTTAAGTCTTTGCTACTCAAGAGGCTGAGACAGAAGAATCACTTGATCTCAGGAGTTTGAGGCCAGCCTGGACAACAAGTGAGACCCTGTCTTTTAAAAGGAAAAAAAAACATATAAAATAAACTTTAAAAAGAGCCTCAGAAGCTGCTTGCTGTTTTAAGGAGGACTTCAGGGAGACCTAGAGATTATATAAATGTTTACTAAATAAACAAGCAAGAACTTTTTACACAAAAGGATCACTATGTACAAATTTAAGGAGGCATACGGGAAACATTTACTAAAATAAATTGACTATTATTGAAACAGGAAGGACAAAAGAGATGGGTAGGAGGTTCAGATCATGAAAGACTGCAAAATGCAAAATAATTTAGATTTTATCGATAAGCAATAACAATCCACTGAAGATTTTTGGGCAAGAGTAACTAAGTCACATTCTTAGCCAGAGAAAGGACCAGGCTTAGTGGGACCTGAAGCTTAAGCAGTTGGAGCAGTGAAGACAGAGGACTTCTTTAAGAAAGTAATATAGTCTTCATATAGCTTCATAGCTGGGCAGTAAGGAGTCTAGCTCACACCTGTAATCCCAGATACTCACAAGGCTGAGATGAGAATCACAGCCTTTGGAACTGGAGTCTCTTGTGCTTCTCTGCTAGCAAAGCAATAAAACTTCTTTTTTCCTTTTTCTTGGGGGAAAAAAGGCTAATGAGGAGAATCAGAAGTTCAAGACCAGCCTGGACAACTTCATGAGACCCTATCACAAAATAAAAGGAATCTAGGGGCTGGAGATGTAGTTCAGTGTGTGAGGCCTTCAGTTTGATCCTCAGTGTGACCAAAAAGAAAAAAAATGTTGGGCCTCAAAATAGTTATTACCCAGGTGTTCAAACTGCTTCTAAAAATACCCTTATTGCTCATCATTTGTTTGTTTGGGCGGGGGGAGTCTTATGGTGGCATTATGGCTTTTATCCAGGAGTATTCCTAAGAACTACACCCCAGCCCTTTTTTATTTTAAGACAAGAGTCTTACAAATTGCCAAGGCTGACCTAGAATTTGTTTGCCATCTTCCTGCCTCAGCCTCCTGAGTCACTGGGACTACAGGTCTGTGCCATTACCCAGCAATTCTTTATTAAACATTTATTATGCACTAGATGATATGACACGTGCTAAAGATATCAGCATATTACAGATAAAGGTGCTGGCCTTTATGAAGCTGAATTCTAGTGGGGGAATCAAGTCAATAATCAAATAAAATTATATTTATATATTTCCTAAGCTATGTACTGAGGTTTCAGGGGTGAATAAAACATACAAGGTCCTTTCTCTCCTGTGATTCCCAATCTAGCAAAGGAGACAGAAAATAAAGTAACTCAAGACAATTTCAGTTGTAGTGAGTGCTATTAGGAAAAATAATTCAAGTTATGAGCTCAAGAATGATCTAGAGGGAAAGCAGTGTACTTTAGATGGATTAGCCAAGGAAGGTGGCATGTGAGTTGAGACCTTAATATCAAGAAAGGTTAGCTAGGGACAAGGAAATAAAGAATCAAAAGCATAAAAGTCCTAAAATGGTGGTGGGAGGACTGGAAGTACTATAGGTGAAGATTGGGGTAAAGTCTGAATAAGAGACCCCTGTATGTATCCTTCAGGATATATAATCTAGTGAGGAGGACGAGGTAAAATTAATGACAAGCCTAAAAAAAGTCAAACTCTTAAGTGATACCTAGAGGTTTGGACAAATTTTGTGGAAGCAAAGAGAGGTGTACATTTAATTCAATCATGTTCAGTGGGTGTGTCAAGAAAGACTTCCAGAGGTAGCATTTGAACTGGGCATAGTGCTACTCTTTGCTTTCCCTAAAAGTTCCTCCCCAGTGTTCTTGAGGATGGGGAGGGAGAACTAAAGGATACTGGGAAAGGCAGCACTGCCAGGGGAGTGAACCTGACAGTACTGAGCTGAACTGGCTGCCATAGCCCAAGGTTGCCCTGGAAGCTTCCTCTTCTACCCACTTCCACTTAACATAAATGTTTATTTTTAACCACACAGATAATAGCAAATGCATTCCTGTTGTAAGCATTCAGTTATCTGGGCTGAAGAATGCCCCTGACCACCAGCCAGCCACCTGCCTACCTCTGTAGAGGGAACTCCACCCAGCCTGGCTCTTAGCAATTCATTTATTTGCATAGAGGTACATCTAGCTGTTTGGATAACATGATGAGGTTTAAAGTAGAGTACAAAATGCAGGAGGAGAAAGGGAGTGGGGGAGAATGGGGAAAAAGAAAAAGATTACATGAGGAAGAACAGGCTTGCTCCAAAACAACTTGAAAGTACAAAAATAGTGAATACAAAAGAGAAAACAATGACATCTGAGAATTTACTGTGTGCTGAGCACCATTGTAAATTCTCACATGCATTAACCCAATCCGTACACCAACCCTATGAGGTAGATACTAGTATTATACCCACTTTATGAACTGAATGAGAAAGCTGAGTATGAGGACTTCACTTAGGTCACATGGCTAGTATGTATCCAACCTGGGGTTTCTGGTGATACAGGTCCAGAATCCAGGCCCTTACCCGCTCCACTATACTATTATCCCACTGGTACAGATTTAATAGCAACTGATGTATAAGATATAATGGAGGAAGATCATCAATCAAAGGTTCTTAGAATAATTTGAATCATAGAAGCAAAATATAGTTTGCACACACATGGTATAGAAATTAGTAGGATGGTGCCCCAGGCACAAAACTAGGCAGCTGAGAACACCAACCTACTCCTCCAGGGCCAGCTTCCTAGATCACTACCTGTGCAGAGCTCTGCTCTCATAAGGGGCTTTGAACTTGGTTTGATACACTGCTGTTATTGCCTTGAAATTCTCAATAATTTTAGCTTCGAACTTACATTTTGTATCTAGTCCAATGTAACAATGTAGCAGAAGAGATATACTCAGTGGCAGTGTATACAGCTTGTGGGCACTACAAACAGTGTGCATGCTGAGCAGTTGTTTAGGTCACCTGGTGTGCACAAGCACATTTGAGGCAGTTCAGGGCACCACAGGGCCCAGAAGGGGACATACGAACAACAACAACTGTGGCAGCAGGAGCAGAGATAGCAGTGGCAATAACCTTGGGAGAGAGGAAGGTCTGCAAAGGCAGTGAGGTGAATCATGGTGAGAGATAAGCTTGTGCTTCTGTCACCAGAGACTGTCCCTGCAGTATCTGCACAAAGATTAACTCTGCACACTGGGATAGGAACTGCTGGTACTCAGGCAATAAACTTTGCCAAGAAACTATTACAAAATAAAAGCATAGCCATGGACATTGTAGTTAAATATATGATGGGGTTCTTAGAATTCCTCAAAAAGTTTAAAGTATCTGATTTTGGAGCTGGAAATGTTCTTCAGTGGTGAGGCACTTGCATAGCATACCCTGAGTTTGATCCCCAGCATGGCAAAAATATAAATAAATAAATAACATTTTAAAAAGTGTGTGTGTGTGTGTGTGTGTGTGTGTGTGTGTGTGTGAATGATTTTGAAAAACTAGTGCAACATTTCAAAGCAAATATTCAGGGGATTAGAATTAGAAATTAAAATCAAAGACTGTGAGCTAAGATGTAGATCAATGGTAGATTGCTTGCCAAACATGCACATAGACCCTGCATAGAAAAATAAAATCAAGATAGTCACAATAGACACATTAGATGAAAAGCTGGGGCTGGGGATGTGGCTCAAGCAGTAGCGCGCTCGCCTGGCATGCATGCGGCCCAGCCCAGGTGCGATCCTCAGCACCATATACAAACAAAGATGTTGTGTCCGCAAACAAAACTAAAAAAAAAAAAAAATAGATGAAAAGCTGAGGATGAACCAATTACTAGTGAGGAAGACAATTGAACTTTTTTTCCTTGTAATTGGAGATAAGCCAGTAGAACACATAAATAATTCTGAATTATATACAAACCATGAAGCCACTTTCCATTTTTTTTGTTTGACCTTCACAAGTTACAGGAAATGTCAGAGGAAATATTGAAATGCTATTGTATAAATTTATATTAAAAATTGATTCAGACTGAATGCAATTAAAACTAATTTTATGGAGAGTTAATTTTTTTTATTTTTTAGAAAAATCGGGCAAGCTCTAGAGGTACTAAGGTGTACATTTTGAATAATTTACCAAAAATTTATCCCAATGTTGTCACAATCTATAAACTACTCTTTTCTTAATTTTTTTAGTTGTCAATGGACTTTTATTTTGTTTATCTATGGTACTAAGAATCAAACCCAGTGCCTCACACATGCTAGTCAAGTGCTTTACCACTGAGCTATAACCCCAGCCCAAAATGCTCTTAACAGTGTCAGTAACAATTGTATCAGGAGGAA